GACACATTATACTATAGATGAAGTTATCATGAATTTCCTTACATTATGAATACGATAGTATGATTTTTACAACGAAGTTGCTGAACGGATATTACTAAAATTTGACATAAAGATAGATTATACGACGAGGAAGGATATAGGCTATCTCTTATCTTAAAAAATAAACAGAAAGGAGAAAATAGGGGATGAAAGTTTGTGCAAACGAAGTCGTGAGTGATCCAAGCAGATTGTTTCGTAAGCTATATTTTAGTGGTTTTATTTTAGTTTAGTAAAGTTAGAGTGAGGACAAGGGAGTAAATTTATAGACTACGGAAACTTGATCATCATAGTCCATCGGATTGGCAGCGCAAGAAGGGCAGTGCTATTAGTGTCACCTGATGACAAGATCAGGTGCCTCAATACATAGAGTATTAAGGCAGAGGATTGAGGCGATGTTGCTAGTTAGTGAGATTTTAGGCGTATCTAGTCATATATAAAAAACTATAATTAAAACAACTTGATATAAATACTTTTTAACAGTCACGTCTTTATGATGCTTCCGCTATTCTTAAAGCAAATTCAACCTGAAGAGACTCAGAGAGTCAAATATCTTAGCTTTGACTTTTGTCAAACAAATGTAAAATATTATATGCTTCTGATATTGTGTGATCACTTGCAATATAAAAGGCTTTCCTCACAAGTTGTTTACCCTTGAGATAGGAAGACGTTCAAACTGGCAAATACAACAGTATGCTAGAAAGAATACTAGAAAAATTCATAGGTGAGATGGATGTGCACGTAATTCCAGATATATCCAGGTAGCTCAATTCCGCAAAAAATATACTCCAAATATTTAGTATCTTTATGTACGTCATAAATACCTTAGAGGTATATAAACACAATTAACATTTAATACATTGAAAAAATGAAACCAAGTAATATATTAATATTACAATGATTAGTAAAATGCGTGTTTATTCAGTTTTGCAACTGAAATGTTCATAACAAAACATTTTCAATAATATTACATAATAATATATATAATGACAAGACACATAAAATAGTTCATAATAATAAGTATATAATAAATTATAAATTAATAAAAGTACACGTTTGCGAAATGTAATTTTTTTAAAAAATGTGTAGACAGACAGACTAATATTCTAAAAACATTTATCCTTCAAAGTACGGCATTAATTAAAAATAATATTGTATGTTACTTTGACTTGTTTTAGCATCTATTGCCTAATCAATGAATTAATTACGTGTCGAGTTGCTCATTGTTTGAGATCAAACAAACGAATGTTGTTGCTAGTAAGTACGTCTGCATTCGTGCTTATATCGAAAATAATTAATTACTTCGATACTAGCAATATAGCTGTACGGTCTCCAGTTCCTTGGCGGTTGTATATGCTGTGAAATTTTCAGTAAATAAAATAACTACTCTGGGAATTCTACTTCAACCCCGATTATTATATTTTATGCTGATTTCTATGTATATCTTATGTACAAGCATGTGTGTTTATATATATGTATATGGATATGTAGGTAGGTAGTGTGTATGCATTTGATGCATGTGTGTATGCAATAAAAAAATTAATGTGCAAATTGAACTTTGTGATATTAATAAAGAACTACAATGAACTGATGTTAATAAAGAAGATTTGAATGTATCAGTCACTAAAGTTACTGATACATTCAAATCCTTATTTATTATTCCAGTTTCTAAATAGGAAACTAAAAATTTATTAACTACCGACTACTGCTAGATTATATGAGCCGTGTAAACAACACGGTATTATAAAGAAACGTACGCTGGCATGTGAGTTTATAACCAGTAATTATATTTATATGTACCTAAACATCTTACCATTTTATAGCAAATTACTATCCATATCTGCTACTCAAGGGCACTTGATGGTAGGTAATTACCATCGAGTCATGGTTACTGTGGTGCAAGGTAAAATAACGCGAATAAATCTTTCTATTTAAATTGTGTTTAAACAGACATAAAGATAATACCGCCACTTTGAAATGCAGGGATTGCTCTGTCACACGTAAGTCAGTTATATTTTTCATTTCCTAGAAACTATACACCTTTTACCTTTTTCTTTTACTGTACAATAATACTGACGGCTTTTACCGGAGTTGTATAACTTTGCATGTTTTGTATATTATATGTATATAAGATTTAGCCTATGTAACTCTGAAATAATGTACCTTTCAAACAGTGAAAGAGTTTACTTTCCTTACAGCTTTTTAAAATTAGTGTAAGTGTTATGACACTGACATATCTTTGTTTTCTTAAATTCGAGAAAGAGATGACGGTCTCACTTTTATATGTACTCTCTATATACTCATCAATACCAAAATCAATGTTTCTTTTTATAATCAATTAATTTTATTATTATTTTGATATTTGTTACCATGTACTATGATATTGTAAAAATTAATAACAAAATCTTCATTATCGAATAGACAATCGTCAGGTGCATGTTTACACTGTTACAAAGGAAGAATGCGTCATTTGGTATCATATTCGTATTGAATGTTTAGAAAACATTGCACTTTCAATGGATACAGCTATTTGATCTATTGTGGAATGAACAACGTTGTTATATAACATCATATTGACTAAGATGGTGTAGTGGTTTAGAGTTCGATCCGCATACAAAAATTTAAATTCTTGAGTATATCGATGGTCGCGGGTTCGAGTACATCGTTTTATTTTCGAGTACAAACATTTCTATTCATGAATATGATTATTTGTATTATTTTATAACCATATATATATATATATATTTAATATCCAGCTAAAAATTGCAGGTGACATGCAAAAGTTAGGCATGTGGAACACGCATTCTTTTTCCATCTGGTAACAGAAATAAATATTAGCATAATTATAATTTATTCAAATCTATACATACTTCTATAGAATATTCGGAATAAATACATCCTAATTATCATTTAACAGGAAAACTCAAAGGAGAAAATATCCAAGTCAGTGGAGAAATAAATATATACACATCTTATATTAAATGCCTAATCAAAATGTTATTTAGCAGTCAAATATTTATTTGATGAATTATTAAATAATTTATTAGTACTGTTTCTTTTCTTTGGGGTTGTGCAGATCAGTAATTAAATAATATAGCCTATTTCTACATACAGTAATGTATCTTTTAAATGAAGAAACAATTTACTTAAATTGGAAAAAATATTTAATAATAATAAATATTTAATAATATTAAATTAAAATATTAGAAAATTTAAGACAGTAGAAGTAAATACAAAAAAATACTTATATTGTAAGATTTTACTCTATTTTAAAAAGGCTCTTGTAAATATTGAAGTAAATTAATTATTTATGTTAATACACCCTAAAAAAGTGTTTAATCTGTCACTATATAAATAAGAGTTATTTTAATACGTAACACAAACACAAAATACTGTCAGATAAAAACAAAATGATGCAACTGTAACGGCGGATCGAGTAAGTCGCAATGTTAAACTGTTTTGGACCACTGAATTTCAATTTTGCTGAGACGTTTATTTTTTATTTTATGGCATTATTGTGCAAATTAGAAAGATAACCCAATCACAATCGAATATTCATTCATTGCGCAATTGTATAACATTTTTTTGTTACGGATAAGCCCGCATGATTTTGTTATTCTAAAACAGAAATGAATTCACTTCAAAATCTGCTTCATACGTTTTATTGTATATCAATTGCCTAGAGAAATTCATTATTAATCATATACCTACCAAAAGTAGGAAGTTTATAATTTCAACGATATTTTTATATTTCATTAACATAAATTTGTAGAAGTTATGTAGTTACCCACAGCGTCGAGGACGTTACTTGAAATTTTAAATAATTTTTTGACAATATCGTCAGCTATGGGAACAGTTGCCAAAACTCCCACAGAAGATGAGTTAAAGAGTCTGCTCGAGCTAAGCCGAGTTGCCGAGTAGCCTAGAAAGAGAGAGGAAACAGAAGTATAGTATTATAGTTAACTATTTTATACTAACACGTGGAATTTAACATTTTTTTAATACAATAACAATAAAATGTATAAAGTAAAAGTAGTCTAAATCACTCCTTATAACACCAGCTATCTGAAAGTGAAAATCTCGTTAAAATCAGTTCTGTCATCTCAGAGATTATCAAGATCAATCTCTGTTCTGTTCTGAACAAACAGTGCTTTAAATTTTTTTTTATAATAAGTTCCGTATATATTTTTATATGCATTGTTATAGTGAAAAGCTGTTAATTAGAAATTACAAACAGACATTTCATTTTTATTTATTTGTATTGTAAATATGTTTAAAACAATTATAAGCAATCAATAAATTGCTTAGTATCTAATCATAGTTAAGTATTACATTGCGTGTTTCTGTAATGTGTAGGTAGGTATATAATTGATGTATTTACCTCGCGCATGATGCTGTATTAATTAATATAAAGATATCAGTTACGTCCGCTGTAAATACAGATATGGTTATAAAAAAAGTATAGTTTTAAAATAGGAGAATATAACAAAAAAGATGGTATTTTATGATGGTAATGTAAACAGCAAATTTTGATTTTTCAATTATTCTGCCGCCACACTCTGAAAATATTAGAGTATGCTCGAAAAAGATACATTAAATTATTTATTTTTTTAATTATACTATTTTATAAGTGGGTTAGAATACATTAACGGATATAAAATACTACTCCCTACCTATGTCCTTTTACATAACATATATTACGTGAATGCTAAATTTTATGATGATCAATAGAAATGTTTAAGCAAAAATAAGACACAGACATACATACATTCAAACTTTAATATTAGAAAAGATTTATTTGTAGTCATTCCAGTGATTAATCTATATTAATAGCAACTGTTACAGCAAGAATGGGTCAATGTTTTACATACAATTCTCTCAATCTAGCATACTAAATCTTTGTCACTCTCAATTTCCAGTATTTTATACAACTCTCTGACTTAAGTCATATATTTTCTTTACAGACAGTGAAATCAACATGCGACTGCATAAAAACTCAACTGAGCACAATAGCAATTTCCTTGACACTATTCAACACGGTGCGCCTACCGCGGGAGGCGTTCAAACATGGAGCAGTTCCTTACCTGGTGGTCTACTCATTTTGGCTGCTAGTAGTCAGCCTGCCGACGACGCTACTGCAGCTTGCTATGGGACAGCTGAGTCAACAAGATCCTGTTGGTGTATGGAGAGCTGTTCCAATATTAAGAGGTAATCAAGATACATTTAAAGATATGTAGCTTATACTAAGTCGTGCTTAGTAGTACCTTATGAATTATAAGTAAGTCTTATATCATAATCAAAAATAATTTATTCATGGTAGGACATTTTAGCAGCTTTAGATTTTTTTTATTTTTTACCTACCATTACCGTAGGTACGTACCGTTTAGTATACAGATTCAATTAAGAAGAACTGTTAAGAAACACAATTGTTTTTTTAACCCAGTTTATATATATTGTATACTTATACAGGAGTCAGGTGTAATATATATGTAATAGATAATAATATATATTTAAAAGCGTAACAATTCTCAGATGCGGCTAAAGTATACCAATGTAGCTGAAGGGCGTCTCATAAGTACTGTTTATTTTTTATATATCAACTAGTTCATACCCAAGACATGTCTATCTTTTAAAAACCTCAATATAAAAACTTCATTTAGACCGTGTCATAGGTGGGTGGCATCTTGGATTTGATGGCGATGGTTACCACTTACCGTCAGGCAGTGTCTCTGAATATAAGACATCCTAGTCATCCGGAATTTGTATTATTTTAAACATGTACAACATTTATTAGAAAATAATATGAGCTGAGTTTCTTATCAGTTCTTCTCATCTCGAAATCATTCCGAACCGACGGTAGATTTGACATATCATAAGAGTCTGTAATAGATCTATATGAATAAAGATATTTTGAATTTGTAGTTATCATTTACATGAATAAATTTTTTTTTTTTTAGGTATTGGTCATTTGAGGATTTTGACGTCATTCATATGTTGTATGCTCAACGTGATGTATGTAGCCCTTTCGTTGGCGTTCTTAATTTGGATAGGAAAGGACACATTCCCACTGAAAGACTGCACTAAGCTGCATATAACACCGGTAAGATCTTTATTATATATTCTATGTTCTTATCATAAAAGCAACTCCGAAGTAAACTATTTTACTAATCGTACTAATATTATAAACGCAAAAGTTTGTTAATATGGATAGATAGACGGATAGTTGGATGTTTGTTGCTCTTTCTCGCAAAAACTACTGGACGGATTTTGATGAAACTTTACAGTAATATAGCATCAGAATAACATATATTCTATCAATGTCATGCAGGTGTAACAGCGGTATAGTAAATGTTTAATAAAATATGCCTTCCCTAATTCTAAATAAATTGTGATGATTATATTTAAGGCACAATATTACTATCACAATGAAATACATTCTGTATCTTATAATGACATCATTAATAAAGCAAATAGGACGATCATTGAACAAAATGTATTAAAATTAACCCACATTAACTAAGAAATCACTAATAATGGGAAATCCACCTCGAAATTAAGTCATTAACGTCGTTAATCCAAAGTTTGTAGTTTTAAAACGAAGTATAATTTCATTATTAGGCACGTCATTCAATCATTTAGATCTACTTTACTGTTGTATTTAATGTTGTCATCATTCAGGGGATATCATACATTGCATTTGCTTTTACGGAGTCATTCATGTACTTACTCTCCCATTGATATCCTAGTATTGTTTGTAATACGATTACTTGACCGTCCGTTCATGTACATTACTCTAAAGATACGTATCTACATTTGAGATTGATATCAGAAAGCGAAATTCCATTACATTATTCTTCATATGAAAATAAAACCTAATATCATAGTAATAAGCACTATTATTCCACTTTATTATTTCATTCAAACCACATACACTCTGTATAGGAACATCCCATATGCATGTGTTAATTTACGAAATTTCGTTCTATATGCAAATTCTTATGAACATAATAATGTTTAATTGCTACAATTAAATTTTTACACAATCCGTAATAGCATATTGTATAGAATAAGAGAATAATTATTTAAATTAATTAGTGTATATTCAATTTACATCTAAAATATCTTTGATAGAAATGAAATAATATTTTTAAATAAAGAAGACCTAATATTCCATATTGTGCACTAAGCACAGGAATTGTAAACATGTTTTGTTTGTTGTTTCAGCACGGATATGAAAATAAAATGAGTGCAGCCGAATGTTTCAAGTTAGTATGTAATATTTGTATGTATTTATTTATTATACAGACTATTTAAAAAAAACTATAGGGTCTTTAACTTGTTTTTTAACTAAAAAAAACGATTGACGAATGGCGATAAATTTTAAAGAAAGAATTTATTATTTAAAATTTAAATATCATTATTTATGTAGGCATATGCCAGAGAAGTTACAAGTGAAATTGACAATGCAATTAGAGTAATAAAGAATTTACAAGAAAATGAGCTCTTACTGTTTTTTTATGATATGGAAGTACATTACTAAAATATAGATTCATTTTTATATTAATTTAGGGTCAATGTAGTGATTCCAGCATAATTGCTATGGACTTTGCTTTCTTAGTAATTCAGAATGAAATATGTTTTTTCTCCTTCCTGATGTTATTCATGTATGTATGTATGGTTATCATAAAATAAAATAAATGTCGCTGCAGACTTTGTAAAAAGGCGTCTGCGCGAGTAAATATTGTTTTGGTTGAAGGATGAGATAAAGTGAAAGGATAAGTTGTACTCAGTACTCAGAAATGACAATAGTATCACGGGAGTCACATGATAACGTGATGTGTATTATTGTTTATGTATATACCTTTCTATCTGAGATCAACGCGACGACTGACTGGTAGAAAATGCCATCAGGCATTAAGTTCTCCGTGTATACAATTTTATGTACAAAAGAATGTACAAATAAACGAAGTTTGTGACTTTCCACCACGTCAGCTTACTTGTCATTCCTTTTACATTTGAAAATTGTATATTTCTTATTTTAAGATGGTTACACAACTTAAAGTGGACCTTTGGCACTTTGGTCTGTTTCTGAAGATGTATAGAATAAGAGATGGTTTATTACAATTTTGTTTCAGCACAACATTCTTGGCGCCGTTCACGGATAACCCGCAGTATCTAGGAGTAATGACAGTTATAATATTTATTTTATGGTTTTTCGTGCCAATATTGTGAGTATAATATTTTATGCGTTGCATTTTATGGGTTTTAGAAAATATTTCTCTACAGTCATCTAATGATGATATGCATTTTTAGTTGTACTTCTCCTTTTCAAACTAACTACTAAAGAAAAAGTAACTCATTATATGACTTTTAATATATAAACTAAATCATCTAATAAAATAGAAAAATAATTTGCTTACTCGTCGTTCCCTTCATGATAAAAGAAACATATTAATTGCTGCAATTGTGTTCGACATATTATTTTTTACATAGAATCATATACATATATATATATATATACACTTTCACAATATTCCGAACAGACCCAAATATCGTGTCATTGCCGTGTTTAATTAAATTCGCTACATTTGAAAATATACAGCCCTAAATTAGCGCAATTAACATTAATTGACCCAATTAGATACTCATTGTAATGAATGTGAAATTAGAAGCGATCTAGTGTTCTAATTACGTACATTGTTATTTTAAATTATTTGAAAATATTCGAATATTAAAAATAAATTAATTGGCCGATTCAGTAGCGTCGTGAGTCGGCCTTGTTCATAATAAAATATAATACTTAATCTACCGTCATTATTAAATAAAAAATGTTACAAATTTAAAAACTAAGACTTCGATATAAAAAGTATAAAACATCATAATGAAAATGAAACTTATAGACACAAAATTGCACCCGAAAATAGAACAGGGTATTTGATGTTCCATTGTTTCTGCTTACTCCATTGAAAGATAGGTGTGGCGAATTTTCAATACATAATGTATTAATTTAAAAATGCATATATAATTTTATTGCAAAACTTGTACTATGCATTTTCATACATTTACTTAAATAAAGTTTTTATTTCTGTTGTTTTTTTTACTCGCAGTATTGAGTCGCTGATTGATATTTTAAGATTTTATTCTCTATTTAAATATATAAAGGCATAAACGTTAAACATTCTACAATTTTTAAACAATTATATTTTATTCGAATATCAATTGTACAATATTTTTATTTTAAAATTAAGAGAATCAATACATATTTGGAATTTACAATTCAAATAATCTTTCCAAAAACAATTCCAAATTTGAATTTTAAAATGTGTATCATAACATTTATAATTTTTTTATCTATTATGTTTAATTTCGTTGAGTAAATTGTTTTCTTTCTTTATTTTCCAGTTTGTACCGTCTACACAAATCGTTAAGAATCTCACTAGCCGTCATGGCTCCAATAGTTGTCATAATGACAGTTATACTTTGTACATTTCTGTCTAACAGCGAGTCCCTGAGGGCAATGTTTGAATCCTGTGAGAAATGGATGCCAATATCCCAACCATACATTTGGCACAGTGCTTTGATACAAGCTTTGTTGTCCACACAGATTGTAGGTGGATATTTGATTAGTGGCGGAGGAACTGTTTATAATCATTCCGATGTGAGATGGTAAGGGTCATTTTTAAATGTTATAATAATAACATTGTTTTTTCGTAATTTATTTTAATAATATCGTGAATTTAATTTCTGTATGGAATTAGAAATTTACTCATTTTATATAGGTACTTGAATAATAAAAAAATATATATGGACAATAATCTAATAGTACACCAGTCTAATAACCAGGCATTAACGATATACGCTGATGAAACATCACCACCGTCATATCAAATGAACATGAGGTGAGGTCAGTTGGCCCGTGGTAAATTCACCAAAAATGAATGACGATGGTTTCCAGAGGGAACTAGGTGGAGGTCGACCTGACTGCATTCATAACAATAATTAACAATTAAACACTAACCCGTTCCCCGCTAAATATATTATAATTTTTTCAATGAACAGGTAGAATAAAAAGGTAGTATTTTTTTTATTTAAATTGACGTGACATATTTCAATTCTAAGGTGCGCTGGCAGTATCCCATATACTCAAAAAATTTACTATCAACCTTATTCACAATTGAGAGTATTATTTGACAAATATTCAAAGTGATATAATATAGTAATATCATAACTCTATATAAAAAACTACTGGTTTAATTCTGATAATAATATTGAAATATTAAGTAATTCTAATACGAAACAATTGATATTGTCTATTGCGTGACGCTAATTAAATATATATATTAGAATAATATATAAATCTTGAACTGGTTGATTAGAAACTTTGCAGACCAATTAATTTTGGATGACAATAGACGAATTATTCAGGCACGTTGAAACTTCGACAAGTTCCCGTAATAAATAAAATCAATTATAAATTGTATTAATAATTCAACAATCGCCTTTTTACATGAACTGTACCTCGGATATAATAAAATGACAAAATTAATTTATGATGTTAGTGCTATTCGTTAGTATTCTCGTGGATAAAAATGTTTGGCCCCATATGCTGCAAATCATTCATTTCTTTGCAATATCCCATTCCTTAAATCTTGCAAAACACATCATGACGCAAGAAATAAGTTTTTCGATTATATTTATTACGAATACCTCTTTTTTATTCAAACATTTTTTTTTATAGGGTATCGACCTCTGTAATACTCACAAATCTGATTTCTGGTTGGTTGTGGGTCTTGGTATGGGAATCAATTGGTGGTGATGACAAGAAAGATACAAGTTTTATAGCAATTCTAGTCTTAATATACCAATCTAATGTGTCAGGGAGAAGAACAAAGGAATGGCCGATGATTGCATACGGAATAGTTACAGTATCTGGCATTATAACTATGGTTAGTATAAGCTTCTTATAGATATACACTTACATATATTACATAAATAGTTTGTACAAAAAGTTCAATAATATATAATACTACAATCAGGACCTTGGATGATTAACACAGAGTTATATAGTCCCAAGTTAAGCAAAGGGTAAGTTGGTAGAAGGTAGTGTTATAAAAGTACCAGGCAACTAATAGAATACTAATTTAGTTTTTTTTTATAAATACATAATTACTTATAAAACAGCCACACCAACACAAACAATCATGCTTATGAACACAAATGTTTGCATCGTGCGAAGAATCGAACCCGGCTGTGTAAGCAAGATCATCGAGGCCGTAAAATAATAATCAAAATGTTTCACAACCGTTATCATAAATGGTGTAGTTAGAGGCATTGTCAATGGACGAATTAGCCCAATACTTATGATGCTCAGATTTGACTTCGGATATCGCGTTGATTGTCTAGGTATAATTTGTAAGTGTAATTAGTAATTATGTTTCTTTGTTTAAAGTAAGAAGTATTTATGACATCGGTATCGCAGGTAGTAGGTATATTGATTCCCATACAGTGTATTGAATTTATCTAGTTAGGCGATTAACTATATTTTTTTTGATAACTAAATTTGATCACATATATACATATATATTATGTTATTATTATACATATGTATATATTATACACATATATACATATGTATTATATATTATGTCTGGAAGAGATTGTTTCAGCGATAGGACTACTTTTTGTGCATCATAATATTTTGTCAGTATAATTCTTGTATAAAATATTTGGTGCAATAAAGAGTTTATACCTAAAACAAATAAATATATTTCGTGATTTATCAGTTACAATATTAAACCACTAACCCACAGTGTTTTTATTATTATTCAATAAGTCACTCTGTCTCACTAATTGTCATAATTATTATTTTCCAGCTAACTCTTCTATTCCCAGTATATGATAAAATACACCGTATGGCAGGTGGTAACTGGAGACTTTTTGCAACGGCATCCTCAGCTGTCGGTACAGCCGTAACAGTGGCTATTTTAGCAAAAGGTCTTGAAGTAGCCACAATATTAGACGACTTAGTGATACCAATTTTAGCGGTATTCACCTCAGCAGTAGAAGTTGTTGGCTTCGTCTTTATTTATGGTATGTGTTTTAAAATACCATCCCAATCTTCTGGATGAATGGAGGTCCTCCAGCGTGCGTTTTTTAGAAACTTTTTGCCATGCACAAGCTCATTGTGGAAAGCACTTTCCAGCAATGGTATTTTCGTACCGATATTGAAATCTTATTGAATCAATAATTGAATCGATATTGAAACCTTCAAAAAAAGAGCTTATTCCGTCTTAAAAGACCGGACCTATTTGCAATTACCTTGATATTGCTGGTGCTTATGGGTGGCGGTAATCACTTACCATTAGGTGAGTTACAAGCTCATTTATCCCCTATGCTATAAAATAAATTAATAAATCGATTATGAAGGACTAGAAATAAATTAATTGATATATGACTCGAATTTTGATAAAATTTATATGCGATTAACATAATTACATCTAAATAATTAATCATAATATTTTTACAGGATATACAGTTAAGTTAAATAATATTGATTACATAGACCTAATGCCTCTATTGTTCTCGCTTTTAGATGTCATTTTATATTAACATTACTAGTAGTATCTGTTAGATGGTGTTTATTCGATACAGCGAGATTGTGAATCATTCAGAGCTATATTTAAAAAAAAATACCACACGCTACCAATAAAGAAGAGACTATATTAGACTATAAGAGCCTATCGTTATCTCTCCATGTCTTGTAGTAAAATCGGTTACTTTTTTTTAACCCTGTAAAATTCACAGATGTTTTTAACAGTGAATTTATTACAGAACTTATGTTTTTAAAGTATATTATTACTTAATTACACTAAAGCTAAAACTTATAACTAAAATTTATACCCAAATTTATATTAGGCATTATGAGATTAATCATTATCGAATATTGTAGCCAACATAATATCGCTAAACGTATCATTATAGCCATATCGATAGTGCTGAAATATCGAAGTCATTAAAGATTCATAACGTATTAAGCTGATAATAAGCATAATATTTATGGCTCTAAAAAGTGTCTATATTAACATTGTTAACAAATTTTGAAAGCATAGAATTATAATGATTTTGTACAAATAGAATATTGTATAAAAAGTGATATTATATTCCATTGGATTAGTAGAGACTTTGTCAAGAGACTATAGATACCATGGAGAATGTTCACTTTATATATATATTCATATTTTCTGGGTATATTGGAATCCAACCTGATGTCTTTCGGATTAATTTGGTTTCATATCGGTGTTTACATCACCGGATAGTCAATCAGAAATATAAATTGTCATTCAAAGTTTTAATTGTCTATACTAATACAATTAAATGCCTCAAAATATACTAGACCGAATAAAAATTCTTTTCTCTATACAACAGATACAGCAAGTAACATAGGCTATATAGTTAATTTAGTTACATATTAATTTTGTATATTATTAAAAAAAATCTTATATTTGCTATTCAGGTTGGTTTTACCTCGCAGTGGACATAGAGTTTCTAACAGGCATTAAATTGCCATGTATTTGGATTGGCACGTGGTGGCTGACTCCTATACTTCTGTTGGGTACGACTGGTTGGTGGCTCCGTGGTGTACTCCGAAATTGGAGTTACACTCAGACCTTATGGCCTTTACTGGGGGTCTTCATAGCGATTTTGTTCATCATGATAGTAATGGCAGCCATTGCTGTAGCTAAAGAAGAACAGTATAATTTTGTTACGGTGAGCGTTTTTTATTAATTATTTATTCAGGCAATACAAACTTATGTAATTAATTATTAATTATAAATCGAATGCTTCGCTGTAATGTTAAATGAGCGTTCTGTGAAAGTACGCATGAATTGTAACCATACAGGTAATTGTATTATTGAATAATAATGTGTTGTTATATTTTATTGTAATCGTATATACAGTAACAAATATATAAAACAGATGACTATTGACTACCTAACGAGAAATATTACGAGGAAGATTTATTTATGAATATTAGACATTAAAAGTAATATGAAATATTTTTACGATTGAATTCCTTTTATTTTTTTAAATGAAAACATGTTAATTTTGATATCCTGAAATCCCAATTAGTATTATTGTTATAAAAGTCTTGAGATAAGGACTTTGAAATGAGGAATACTATTTTGTGGTCAATCAGAACTATGTCGCAGATCAGTTAATAATGAGTTTAATAAAGATATAATTTTCCTTTTTCAGAAAGTGGCTTCAGCTTTCAGTCCATCCAGGTTATGGGGACCCGAAGAACCAATGGCGAGATACGTTTGGATGTCACAACGATACTCTTGCGAAGTCACAAGCTCTGATAACGATAATAGCTCCGAACCGGTCAATTATTCCCAAATAATATTTAGTAAAGACAACGAAAAGATACACAACGACAATTGGCTTAAAAGCAACAGTATATACCAAAGAAATTATAATCTGTACAACAAAAATGTATATTTAAACACAAAAGATGTTGAATACAATAATCCACCTATATACACTACTTATTCTGTACCAAGAGGTAAGAAGAAGAAGAGAGAAGAAGAGAAATTCCGTTCACCAAATGTGTGTATAGCAAAAAATGAAATAGGTGGTCCCATAGGTTGTAATTGTAATAGACACTTTACGTTAAATGTACCAGATTTAAAGAAAAACGAAGTAACGACTAGTCTATAAATTTAATAAGGAACTAAGAACTGTAAATAAGTAATGCAAGGAATCGTTTTATAAATCTAAACGAGGTGTTTTTAACTTCTAGAGATGTAGTGCCAATTATTATTTTACAATATTTATAAACAGCTGTCAGTGATTTTGATATTATAAATAGAAACACTTAAGTTTGTGTGATTGATACGTGTCTTGATTTTAGCGTACAACGATGGCCTTACCTAGTCTAACTTATAATTATAATCGTGATAAAGCAATAAATTAATTATAATAGTATTATCAAATCTTTATATTCCCACAAACTTTAATACCTGCAACGTTCTGCGATACCTTATTTTATATACTATTGAGGATGACGATATTCTAGCTTTATTATTTTCATTAAGGGTTTAAGCGTGAAATAGTGACGACCACGTGCCTTATCTAATTAAATAATGTAAACTGTAGTTATAGCGTTGACAGAGAAAAACTTGTAATGGCAAAAGTCAGTAGCTTTGTTATTCGGTTTACTTAATTATTATTTTTTATTTAAAATATATTTTTTATTTATCTCTTTCGCCAATATTGAAAGAACGTAAGGAAAATCATAACTTTAATTTCAATATTTTATTGAAATTAAAATTAAGAACAAAAGCCGGTCTTATGACAGGTGTAAAATTTTATACACAATAATGAAATAGAGCATTTTCAAAAAACAGTAAGCATAATTTGTAGATGTAATTACAGGAAATGACAAATAAGGATGAGATACTTAATAGACACTTGTAATTCACGCTTATGTTATTGTCTACATAGTCTATATTTCTTACTGCTGGAAACACCAATAAGAAAGCAAATTAATCCAAACTTTGAGAGATTGGCACCTACTATATTGTAATCAAATATAGGTAATCAGCGAAAATCTTTAAACTGCGGAACTTTAAAGGTTACATTCACAATAACATCAAGAAATGACAATCTGCTCTCTGTATTTAATCCAACCTTACCACTTCTGTGATTTATAGTCGTGGTGATATAAATCCCAATCATAATTATTATATTGATGGTCTCAGTGGTCTAACGGTTTAGTACCGCCTTTCTTCAGCTGGCGGGTTCGATTCCTGTGGAAATATCTTGTTGTCATAACTCTGATTATTTGTATCATCCTTGATTTTTTCTAGATACATTGTACTTAAAAAAAGAAACATTCATGTCGATTGTCTAATACCCAAAATATAAGCTCTGTTTAGTCTCATGACGCTGTGTGAGTTTTCCTAATTCATCACAAACTTCAATCACATTTACAGAAATTATAGGAGATAACAAGGAGCTATCAATGAAACCACAATGTTAAAGTTCTGTGCCCGCATTGGAGAGTATCAGCTTAGAGTTAGATTTCCAAATCAACTACGCCAAAACCTAAGTAATGATAAGCCCGATTAAACCCACTAGAGCTCCTAACTCACTCACAGAGGCTTTTAATATCGAATTCGACGTTTATCATATGGTCACCTCTTTACTTAGTTACATTTACTTAGGAGACAATATTAAAAATAGGGGAAATGTGAAAAACAAATTTATTCGTCTGACCTCCGGCAAAGTATAATTCAGTAACATTTACACAAAAAAATTTAAAAAAAATTTTATTTATGGAATCTCGAATTTTATTCATATAGATTATACTATGGTGTGGATGCTCAGCACATATGGTTAGTTACACCCGCGTAGGTATATACTGAAAACCAGAGCTGGGCGCACATCAATCCAATAATAGCTAATTTTGTACCTATTGCCAATCATTATAAATGTTTTGTACATCTAACTGTCTTATTATACTATTGTTGGCAATAAATATAATATTATTATTATTTATTATTATGGAAAATACAAAAGCATTTAAAAGCAAATTTTAATATAGCAATATCCCATACACGATAAATAATTATCTTACTCTAGTATAATCTATACCACAGGACGGATCTCGTTTTCAATATATCAGCGGCATAAAAAATATTGAAAATTCTTTGAATTTAAATTTCCATAGAAAAATAATAAAAATGCATGAGCGTCATGTATTTGTGTATTTAGGTTTTTATAAATCAACCCGTGACCTTATTTTGTCCACGATGATATTTATAATTAGCTATCTAACAGGTAATTACAGCTATCGAACTATAAGTTAAATGTACCTATAAAACCTACCACCAACTATATATAAATACAACATTATTTGTAGCAAATTAGTAGTGACTCAGTCATAACTATTTGAAAATTACTACAAGCATTACACTCTTATCACAAAACTAAAGTGATATATCATAATTTGACGACCTCGGTGGTCTAACGATTTGACACACCGCCTTACTTCCGATGGTCGCGGGTTCGATTCCTCGCACGGTACAAACGTTTGTATTAATAAGTATGATTGTTTTTATCGATCTGCATGTTTTCTTGTATAATGCGTATGTACTTACGAAAAAAAAATCTATGTATTTGTATCAGTCATCTAGTACCCATAACACAAGCTTTAGCTAGCTTAACTCGGGTCTAGATGGTGCTGTGTGTATTGTCCTGAGATTATATATACTTTTATACATCTTAGTATAATATCATAATTTAAATTATACTATTTCATACAATTTTAAAGAAAAATGCCTGCGGTAAGTAAGGTATATCTTAATATAGGAAGGTAAACAAAATTAATGGAGCTATTTAAAAATTCCGACCGCAACCACCGACAGCTATAGAGTTTGAGGGTGCCCATCAAAATAACTACACAAGTACACTCAAAAAAGCGAAAGAGATCCTCACAAGTAATACTTTTTGGAGTTTTCCACGAGATTTATGTTAAAAACTTAAGCAATTTTTCATTTTTTCCCTCGGCCCGCGTGCTCGTTCGCTGTGTGAACGATTATCATTTTGTTACTTTTCTTTGGGTCAAAACTAAAGTTTCCATCTGCCAGTTATTCTTTCTCTTACTATAGTAATAACTTCTGCGTTAAAACACTCGTATTATATTTCGAATACGATATCAGTATATGAACTCTTCGCAGTCGAATATGATATATTCAGTTAAGCATTGGGCATTATGTGTCAGTACAAAAATATTATAAAAAAAAAAAATTTGTATACATACTGTTCCATATACCGACCACTTTCTAGAAAAAAACAGGTTGTATAACCGACTCGCTTACTGGAGCAAAATGGCGTTCTATAATACTGGCCACCGAGATAAAAATAAACAGACACTTAAATTTTGAAAAAAGAATAATTGAAAATTAGAACTGCTAGGGAAAGAAGTTTATTATTTGAAATAAGAAAATATTGAAATAATCATTATTAATAAATCTACATTCTAGATAAATCTACCTAGAATATAGGCTTTCAAGCAATAGAGAGGAGATCTTGACGTATCTCAGTAAAAGGTTAGTGAGTTTGTAGTTACTTTCGGGTGTTCGGAGTGTAGAACACATTCCAAGTAGGGATGAAATAGTATAAATACAAAAGGTAATTTTGTACAGGGAAGAAGAAATTCTTCCTTACCTTTTGTTTTGTAGAACACTGTCCATCTCGTCTCTTTATTTTTTTCTTAGTATGGGTTCGTACTTCAACACACATATATGTATATACACGCACCAAAAATCACGAAAAAAATAATAGTTCTTAATATTAATTATAGTATTTATAGTCAATATTTAATAAAATTACTTTAAATAATAATAATAATTGCTGAGATTAAATAATTATAATTCATGATATAGCTGCGATATATTTAAAAAAAAACTGATAAAAATATGTAGACTATGTGAGACGCGATGCATTTGTTATAGGTAGGTATATTATATATATTATTGCGGAAGAATGTTTTAATTATTCTAATGAATAAGCAAAATGAAAAATAAATAATCTAAGTTACGAGCGTGTAAACTAATACGTGCAAAATAACTCGTTTCCAAACATTTCTTTGAAATGGAACCTTTAAAATTTTAATTTGTCTTTAACAACAGTGATAAATCCTTGAATAATCCCTAAATCAATCGTGAATTCTAAGAGCAGATAAAAACTTCGCTACGAAATAAATTGAATGATAATTTGTTCAATGTCGGGACATAAGGAAAAATCGCGTTTAGAGACCTGAAAACAAGATAGATAACTGGAGATAACGGCGAGACGATGCCTCCACATCGAGTCTTTCAATTGGAAATTTTATCGATTCCCGATGCGGGACGAATTACGAATTTTACTCGGGTTTCCATTAAACAATGGGTTCTGATTTTAAAAATCGGAAGAGGTAGGTATAATTTGTTTAACGAATTATCGTAAATAAACTAACAATTTTTTATGGAAGATTCATGGAATGATGCATTGATGACATACAACTGACGGTGGATCAGCAGAGGTCGATGCGATCAAGATGAAAGCAGTATAGATTAGCATTGTTTTCTGTTGTTCTTTATTTATCTGTAATTTTATTAATTAATTATTTTAAGTGACGTCCTATCTCTTTTTCATTACGTTTTAGCTGATGCCACTAAAAACTAGCGGCATATTCGTATAGAATAGGTCATAAAGCTAAATGGAACCATTTCCATGTAAAATTTGTTTATATTGATTTATTTCTTGGATTAATACTAAAAATTGTATGTATGTATATAATATTCTAACACTGTTGCAATCGGTAACATTACTTCTATGTTAAGATATTTCTAAATTTTACTTTTAATTTTCACAGTAGTCTTTATAGTTTCTTTTGTCTAATCATAAACAATTATAAGTCTAGTAAGTAATCAGAATGAAACGGAAAATATCACAAAACCATCTATCATCCGGTGTACATAATACGTGGTGCAGATACAGCGGTAGGAAACGTAATAACCGGTGTATAAGAAATCTCGAGGGGCGAGGTAAGTGACGACCACATTTGTCCCTGCCATGCGACCTAGCCTATCTGATTGTACGGACATACAGATGCCACTAAAATAGCGCCATTCACAAATTAATAAATATAAAGATATTGTATTTGCTCAAAACCAAAATGTAATAATTTTATTTACTAGAATTTGCTTAAAGCTATGAACAGTAAATGAAACTATAATAGATTTACCTGTAACGTTGATTCTTATATGATAAAATGTAGTTATACCCTTCTGATCACAAATATTAAGCGTACAAATAGTAAACAACTTGTAGGCTTTGTTCAGACATTACAATATGAGTGGTGGTGATAAGTGGTACGAAACTAATCCCGGTCAATCATGATCACGCGGGTTACCACAATACAATCATGCAAACTGCCATCAAAATCGCTTAAAAAACAATAGAACAAAAATAATCATTGTTTTGGGTTTTATTAGGTTGATAAAATACCACAATAATAGTTTTCCTTATGTATCTGCAATGTACAGCGAACAGTTACAATTGT